CAGCATGTTCTCACTCATGCTCTAACTTCTATTGTAGTCAAAAAGAAATGACTCTGATCATGTTAAAAAGATAAATCACTCCACAAGAGGGGGCCAGAAGAGACGGAAGCAGAAGACCCATGGCTTCTTAATGGCAGATATGTAATTCTAATGCTCCTTGTGAGTTAGCAGTAAGCATCCTTCTTGCAGTGCTTGCATAACAGAGCTATCTAAACAAGAAGAAAAGAGTTCTTGTTGGCTGCAGACTTGATGTGCCCCACAGATATCAGGACTGTCCATGTTTACAGATCCACAACTCAGTTTCCATGTAATACAGACTCCCAGTTATATGCAGGGGTGGGTAAAAGCAGTGACTTGGACAGAACAGTTGTCTTCGCCAATGTGTGACAGGGAGGCAGAGGACCATCAGTATAGACCGATTTCTAGTGATTACACAGAGACCATTCAGTTTCTAATGTGCAAAATAGCCAAGACATTGAATTATTTAGCCTGCTCACAACTTGTTTTAATTTACTAAATCCTACTTCTCCTGCTGTAAACAAGCAACAGCGTTCCAAAACACTGCCCATGTTTGAGATACTATAAGCATAAACTTGATTATCTGGATTGAAATGATAATTTAAATAAATAAATAATCCCTCGGAATTATGGTATTTCAACAGAAGACTTTGGGAATCCCAAAAGGAGGATGGCAAACTCCTGTTTGGTTTCCCTGGAATGGTAAATGAGAAGCTGACTGCATGTTGGAGGTACAGTTTGTCCTCCATTAATGATGATAACTGGGACTGTGAACTCTGTTGCTAAGCAACACATTTGTAAAGTGTTATGTCACGTGACCATGCCAACTTAATGATGGAAGAACTGGAAGTTCCAGTTTTGGTCATTAGGCAAATCCCGCAGGTTCATTAGGTACCTCATGTGATTGCCATTTGGGATCGGCTTCCCAATTGGCTTTGCTTGTCGGACACTGGCAAATGGTGATAATATGACTGCGGGATGGTGCAACCATCCACTGTGAGCCAGTTGCAAAGCACCCGATCATGATCATGTGACTACAGAGACCTTACAGTGGCTGCAGCTTCAAGAACTGGCCACAAGCCTCTTTGTTCAGTGCCATAACTTCGAATAGTAATGATGAAATGGTCATTAACTAAGGACTATTTATAATTGATTCTAGGATGAAAAGCACCCAAAATTATAACTATTACTCTTTGGTGAGCTGCTTCAGATTAATTATCACTTTTTGTTTCTTCTTCTTTTTGTTATTGTTAATCCTTTCCAAGGCTATAATATTTATTTTTATTTATTTATTAAATTTATGTGCCGCCCATCTCACTGACTAGTGACTTTGGGTCTTTTTAAGGTATGGGGGATCAGAGCCATATATTTAATGTTCACGTACGATTGCACCACAGATTTATGTAATGATATGACATTATTAGAAGTTTCTTCTTCCTTGTTCCCTTTCTTGTTCTGCCCATCCCACATACAGAATTTGCCTTTTCCAACTATATATTATAATTATTTAGTGCTCAGTTGTTTCTCTGGGGGGTGGGGTTGAGATGGGGAAGGATCAAAAAAAAGTCAAGAAAGTGGCTGTGACCGCACAATCGAAGCCCTGCCCTTTTGAAAGTGCATGCAATATTTACACCTGTGCAAAAGGACAGAACTTCAATTATGCTTTTGCAATCCCCACCTTGACGTTCTTTGGTCTCCCCTGCAGACATCCCTATAGATGTTCTTTATTTGGAAGGCTCACACAGCATAAAATGCTACGGGCACTCATTAATATCTACAATGAAGTCTTGTTGGCTTTTATACAAGCTAGAATTGTATTAGTTCTTTGTCCGGCCTCCTATGGGAGGCATCCATTGTATGAAAGATTTACTGTGGCCAGCTCTGGCATTTAAGGCACAGGAAGACCCAACAGCTAATCTTTTTAAATGATATTGGTGAGAGGGGGGGTGTAACTATCCAAAGGACTCACAAGTTGAAGGTTCCAGATGAGGAATGCACAAAGGAGAAGTGTTGTCATCCTTTAGGATTAACTCTGAGGTCATCTCCTTTCTGCTTTGTTCCAGAAAGATGGAGTACCTCTATATTTTATCAATTTGTTTTAATCTGGAAGGGAATTTAACCAGTTTATGATTTTTATTTTCCATTCCAATAACCCTTCAAACTTTTTGGTTGAATGGCTAGTAGTATGTCACCTGCTCCATTTTTTCTTTGAAAGCAAATACAGATATCCATGAAAATGCCAGAATCTCGCATCAAATAGTTCTTGCTAGCTTTTCCACAGAGCTCAGTTCAAAAACTATTCTCCCATCTTCTTGCTCTTGAATGATTCTTGAAGCATTGCAGAAAAAATTGGAAATGCATCAATAAAAGAGAAAAAATATGGTTTAAGTTAATCTACAGTTCTAGGAAGTCTGCATGTACAATGTATAGTTCAAATTTAATAAACATAATTTATACCCACTTCCCATAGATGGAAAGTACATGACAGGTGACCACTTGATCTCCTATAATCTGTTGCCAAGTGATAAGTGTTGACAGACAATTCCAAGGATCCTGAGAGTTGGACAAATACAAATTTTAAGAGAGGATTGTCCAGTGTTCAATCTGAAATTTGAAACAGACCTGCTTCACCCAACAACTTTCCTTACTGCATAAATAGTTCCCAATTTTCCATTTCTATGTCCACATATTCAGAGCCCTCAACTACAACTACCACTACCCAAGAAAGAATGTCTGATTTTTAAAAACGTCCTCTAAATTGGCTTGAAATTATAATTCGGGTTATATTCTCTGAAGTGTCAATATCCAAATAATCCCTGGATGAGGACAAAAACCTGCCTTTGCTACCATCTGGTTGTTAACTGGAATTTTGAACTCTACTGTAAGGAAGGACATAGGGAGTGGTATTATAATAAACATGAAACAAGAAACACAGGTGTTAGTACTTCTTGTATTTCTTCATTCAATTGCTTGGAAACTCAGATATATTTTTCTTAGTGAAATGTTGGAAATTAAGAACACCATGCTCCAAGTTAGTATTATTTTCAAGTCTAGTTGCCAATCAAAGACACAAAAGTTATTTTCAGTTTTATGTATGCATAAAGACGAAGAAATATAGAGGGAACCTCTTTTTCTTCCCGCATTGTTTTAAACCTTCCAGTAGAGGGCTGCCATTCTGACAGTCCAATTTTGCATTTCTCTTCAGAGATACTGAATGAGATTTCCTCCTAGATCAGGGGTGTCAAACTATATCGAAACCGCGCCCACCCCATTGCCAGCAATGGAAAAAAAGTTGTGATACGTCACCACACGTCATGATATGTCACGACACGTCATGTGACGTTGCGAGTTTGACACCCCTGTCTTAGATGATTGAATACAAGATTGCAGTCTTAATCTGGCTCTCCATCCTCAACGCATTTATACAAATTAGGTTTGGTCCTGTTTCCAAACATTCTTTTGGATTGTGGCCCCTGGCATGACCTTCAAAGGCCAACAGTCATGCTTGCCAGGAAGAAAGTTCATAATTCTGACCTACAGAAATCATTTTTCCTCCTCTTTAGATTGTGAGTGCCAGGAAATTCTACCCAGGCTGAAAAAAAAAAGAGGAAACATAATTTCAATCTCAATGTATAGTCACGTTTAAGATGTCTTAAGATAAGATCCTTTATTAAGGATTGCCTTATATCGATAAACATAGTATTTTTCTCTTCTTATCGCCTTCACAGATAGTTGGCTGGTAGACCATATCTTGGGTGACTTAATCCCTTCTGGACAAGGAAGGGCAGGGGAATCTCTGCAGAATTGTTGTTGTAAGGATGGTAATATTTGAGGAATATGTCGAACAAATTTGTTTGGGTTGTGGCTGGGCCATGATCTTGTTCAGTTTTCTGGGGAAACTTTAATTCTATCAGTTCTGAGGAAGTGAACAGATCCCTAGGGCTTTGATTATTGCTACCTGTGTTTCAAATGTCCCTCCTGGTTGGTTAGGAACTCCAAGGAAGTAGCTGGATCCAGATGATATCGAATGCTTCCTTTGAGACGGAATGACTTTGCTCACCCTTACACCCCACATAGATAGATAGATAGATAGATAGATAGATAGATAGATAGATAGATAGATAGACAGACAGACAGACAGACAGACAGACAGACAGATAGATATGCAGTGTTTTTATAGATGTAAGCGGTACAGAAGTCAAAATATCACTATTTTTCAATCTTACACATTAGGCTTTGAAAGCTTCTATTACTAGTATCTGTGCAAAACAAAGAAACCAAGCAGATACATGAAAATCTGTGAGGCACCATCATCAATGTCATGGTGATAGAACCTTATCAGAATATCTACTTCATTCTGCCTATGATATCTGCCTTTTAGACGCATATTATATGTTCTACTTAAAAGTTATGCGGTGAGCAGACATTACTGGGGGCAATCAACAGGTTGATGGGTGAAGGTTCCCTACTAAGGCTATGTCAGACCTTATTTAGAAAAGGGCATTTCCTTTGCTTCGTCTTGATCTAACATCTGCGCCTGCCCAGTTGTGTGACTTAAGAAACTTTGGTTTTAAAAGTATTTATGCCAATGATCTTTCTACCAATGGATGCTCAGTAGACCGATGAGAAGGTTGGCTTTGAAGCTGCTCATTCGGTTGCCTCGGCTCTACTTAACGCCACCTGCTAGCCTATTTCACAGCAGCCCCAATTTCAGTGGTGGTGGGAGTCCCTTCAACAATCCAGCCTACCAGCAATTCCACACATGAGTCAGACAGCTGCAGGGAAAAGGCTCCAGCATTCAATTAACAGGTAAAATCATTTTGCCCAGCAGTAACTATCTGAGAGCCTGTGAGAAGGTGATGGAGATCAAATAGTGAAACAGACTTTACTGTTTCACAGAAGCAAAAATAGCTTGCTTTTTTTTAAAACAACAACAACAACAACAACCCAATCCATGTAAACCCCCCTCCCCATGTTCTCACCTCTGGTTGCAAAGCTGGCAGGCAAAGCAGTCCAAATGGTAAACGTTATCTCGGGCCCTCATCACCATCTCAAAGGCAGGGATCAGCTTACTGCAGGCAGCACAATTCCCAGTAGTCCCAAAGAGCCTGCCAAGGAAACACACAATCATTAGAAGCCAGTTTAATTAAATGGTGGAAGGACTAATTAAGTGAAATTAGTAGTATCAAATACTGTACTGCACCAATCAAGAGAAGTTGCCATCCCCATTTCTCTGACCAGCCAGCATGTGGGAATGGAGGCTGATCCTGCACAGGGAGAGAACTTCTGAGTCCTTTGAAGTTTTGGAGCTGCCAGCTAATTGACTGTCTAATGAAGAAACCCATTCCACATGCAGACAAAGTGCTATTTTGAGGCTCACAATGCTTCCATCAAAAACAATACCATCTTTTCAACGCAAATTAACAGTGTCTTAGCAGTACATTTTTAGAGGATTCTAGCAGCCCCTCTGTTTTCTAATTTGCTATTCCTTCATTTTCTACTGATTAGTTAGCTCTCTGGAGAAAATATGCAAGGTTCATTTTGGGGTATACATAGGACTCCTTCAAACCACTTTCCATACATGCTGCTTAATTGCTGTAGTTCTTGGATTGGTGTACCTCAACAAATCAAAATAGAAATTATATCAGAATGTTATTCACAAAGAGATCTTAAATCATTTCCAATGAAGTAGTAGATTGTAAGACAATCCTATGTGGAAGAACTATTGTGAACCATTATTGGCCATAACACAAATCAATTCCTGGTTCAAAAACACAATATTAACCTGGAACTTCATTTTTTTTCTTTAAAAAATGCTAATAAACCACACTTTCTTTCATCTAATTAAAGACTTACCTGGGCATGGCTGAATTACAGTTCTGAAATATTTTAAGAAAAATCAGCAAGCTACTCAATGCCTCAACATATGCTGGAGAAATCCGTCTATGCTGACTCCATGTAAACCACGTTCACAATAACAAGGCTCGATTATTTAACTGATAATTAATAATCTAATCTGTAAATGCTAAAACATTGTGAATTTCAGTTTGGAGCTGAATTATTTTTAATAAACTTAATGCAAAGGAAACATCTACTGTCTCTCCTCTTTTCTCTCCAAAGATTCACCTTTGCATCATTGTATTCCATATGACCTCCTTGGAGATAACTGGTAAAGACAATCCCTCCCTTGAACTGTGTGGATTTACTATCTCTTATTACATGACATTCAAACTTTCAGAACCTCCCAGAAATCCTTGAAGTTCACTGCAACATTTCTAATTCAACAGAAAGCACTACATAAGAAACCACAAGAAATCTACCGATAAGCAGTCATGATTGTTTAAACTGTGTTCCACAGACACTAGGGTTCCATAAGAATTTGATGGGTTCCACAAGGAACTAAGGGCAAAAGAAAGAATAAGAAAAGTCCATTCAGATGCAGACTATTTTCTCTCACGATAGCTTTTCCTCTTGATCATTCTAACAATGATTTTCTATCATTGTTTTTTTTTAAAAAAAAATTCATTGCAAAGCCTGATAAAGTTTGAAAACCTCCGCTCTAGTACTTTCTGCAGCTGTCAATCAAGATAGCCAATATTGGCCCTGTAGTAAGGTTAATTTTAAGTTTTACATCAACAATACAGTACATTCATACGATACATTGCTTTACTGAAAAGATAAGGGACAGACTGGGACCAAGATAATTATTTGAACTTAGTTTCTAGTGCAGCGAATCAGATTTCATTTAATGTTTTCCTTTCACGGTATATCAATAAGATCTAAGTATAACTAACTTAGATCTAATCCAGTATAAAGTGATGTATTATTTTCACGAGTGTGTGAAGGCAATAGTTTGCTGCTGTGAACCACACACATGTAATCTCTTACCTCTCCAACCTTTTTGAGATCTTGCTGTTACTTTTAAAGCAAGGTATGGAATCAGAGTTATTTTAAACTTTGGTATAGGGTTTCCTGCCTGAGCAGGGGGTTTGACTAGATGACCTATAAGGTCCCTCCTCCTCCTCCTCCTCCTCCTCCTCCTCCTTCTTCTTCTTCTTCTTCTTCTTCTTCTTCTTCTTCTTCTTCTTCTTCTTCTTCTTCTTCTTCTTCTTCTTCTTCTTCTTCTTCTTCTTCTTCTTCTTCTTCTTCTTCTTCTTCACAATTTGATGATACAGTAAAGACTGCAATAATTACCCTATGATAAGATTATGCTAAGCTGTTCTTTCAAAGAACCTAGCAAACAAAGTTAGCTGGCAGGAGGTAGGATTTTCATGCCATGCATCTTTAAAAAAAAGAAAAATAAAGAATCTACCATATTTTATCAGAAACACTGCCCAGTTTAAATCATGTTTAGAAAAAAAGAGCTCTAGAGAAGAGGAACCAGATCTTGAAGTTGCCTTTTAATGGATGCAGTATTCTACATTAAAGAGAGATATGTTGGGCTATCTAAATTCTAGTAATTTAAATAACACCACAAATATGATATAATCTCAGACCTGAAGCCATGATATAGGATTTTCCTTTCTTCTCTTAGGGAAACCCTCAGATCTGCCATCTCTGGACTCTGGAACAAAATTTAAGACTGAATAGGAAGTTACCAAGTAGAAGGAGAATCCATTCTTTGGTGAGAACAATTAACTGACAAAAATGTGCAGAAGGTATACAGATCTCCTACCTAACCTTTTTATCATTTTGTTCCATGATGCATTTCCTATTTTGTAGTGCCTTTGCTTTTGAGTTGATGCTTATGTTATCCCTTTTGTAAACTAGGATATTTTAAAGAACTTTTAAAAATGTCAAATTGTTTGCCAGGCACACACTTAAGTTGCTATGTTCTGATTGGTAAGGTGTGTCTGAAATACTTGACATTTCTTTCTGCCCTTGTGAAAATGAATGCAATTGATTGTGAAAAAAACAGAGAGATCTTAAGGCTGTGATCTTAAACCCACTGGAAAAGAAGTCTCTTCACCTGCATCAATTAAATACCCCTGACTTTAGATTGAATCAACAGATATCTAAGTATTCTTGGACTGAAAGAGAATTAGATCTAAAGACCTATAGGCTCCTTTGAGTTAATTCCTGGTGACATCAAGGATATTTCCAGCTTATTTTCTTGCCCACCAAATAGAAATGGTTTCCATTACTTCTTCCAGGACCTCCAAGTCTAGCCTAGAGCCCCGATATTCTAACTGTTTTCATCCAAGAAATAACCAGGCCTAATACTTATCTTCCAAGTCCAGATCAGGTTGTCCTGCTGAAACCACCAACAGAGATCTAATTCTGATAGAAGCCTATATTGGTTGAAACTGTTTTACATACTTTTACAAGCATGATTGTTACTGAGGTGTATCCCAAACTATATTTCCCTGACACGGGAAACGATGTGCAAAGCATGCAGGTAGCATTTCATACCATACTTCCTCATCTGTATGGCGTGGCCAACTCAGCACAGCCAATTTGCTGTGGCCAACTTGCTGCAGCTAAATCATTGTGGGATAACTTGTCATGGCCAACTTGCCATAGGACAACTCACCGCAGGACAAGAGTTACACTAATATTGAAGAAATGGTGGAATAGAATCATTAAAGAAAGGATGCAAAAGGAGGGACAAAATAAAATGTGAATGACAAAAATTAAAGTAATTTTTAAATTATTTTAAATCTTTAAATTGAATTGTTGAATTGTCCCGCAGTAAGTTGTCCCGCAGTGAGTTCGCTATGAAGAGTTGGGTATTCTGAGATGACTGTGGTGAGTTGACCATAGTTAGTTGTCCCACCATGAGTTGGCTGTGGAGAGATGGCCATGCCGAGTTGACTGTGATGAGTTGACCATGGCAAGTTGTCCTATCGTGAGTTGGCCATGGAGAGCTGGCTATGATGAGTTGACTATGGAGAGTTGGCCATGGAGAGTTGTCCCACTGTGAGTTGGCCATGGAGAGTTGGCCATGCCAAGTTGACTGTGGTGAGTTGGCCATGGTGAGTTGGCCACACCAAGTTGTTCCATTCCATCTCTGCAACCTGCACAACCCCTTCCCTAAAACATTACAAACACCACCACCCAACTTTGAAGTTGGTTTGTCTTGAAGTTCTTAGTTTTATCCACTCCCAGATTGACTTCTCTCTCTAATCATAATTAAATACAGGCTTGAGCAATTTTGTCACATTCAAAATGGTATATATAAATATTTTTTAGGAATGTGGGTTAAAAAATTAATTCTAGAGCTACTAGTATTCAGTTTAATCTTACAAAACAAACCTGTTCTTTTAACTGCCTTTGCTCTTTAACTACTTTCAACTACAAGTAGTCCTCGACCACAACTGAGCCGTCATAAATATGAAACAGTTCCCAAGCATCCACATTTTGATCATGTGACCATGGAGATGCTTGTTTGTAAGTGTGTAAATGTTTGTAAGTGTGGAAAAATAGTCATAAGTCACTTTTTTGCAGCGATGTTGTAACTTTGAACCATCACTAAATGAACTGTTGTAAGTCGAAGACTACCTGTACTAGGTGAGATGGCTTAGTACTGACTCCAATTTATGACTGGAGAGCTGACAAACGGTCTGAAAGCGTGAAATTTGAATAGAAAAATCTGTGAGATAGATCCTTAGTTTCCTTGGGAGCTTAGCTTGTACTTCAGAAGACCTCAAAAGCCATGTATCATTAACTCCTCTATTCAAGGCTGAAAATCTACATCAGACTCTTCCACTGACCCATTTCCATTATAAGATTTACCATGAGATTTGGAGGAAAACATTTTTCTTGGCTATTGTTGTTTTTTTTTAAATTTCTAACTAGCTTATAGCCATAGGATTGTTTTGGTGACCTTCCTTCCAAGTAATAAGCAGTTGCAACCCTGGTTTCAAGATCAGCTAACTGCTACCACCTATCAGGTTGTGTGAGGGAAGTCAAACTTGGTTTTACTTCCCCAGGAACAATTTATCTTTGGAGAAAAATGTCACATCTCCAAATATCACTCTAAATCATGAAAAACAAAACCTAGAACATTTTGAGTGAGATAATCGCACTTGCACAAGCAGTTTGACCTCAAAACTTTTTATCTTCCAATTACGAGTCAGTAAAGATGTCCCTCACGGTTTTATTAATA